GATTAAGTTCCATTAACAAATAATTAATCGGTCGCAAACTTTGACACATTACGTGCAAAGTCTCGTTGCAGGTCGTTGCCTCCTGCTTGCCATCCTCCTCCTCCTCCTCCTTCTTCTTTCCGTTCCTTCCATTATATAGATATACCGTGCGACACACGCTGCTCAATAATTCCAGGTCAATATGATTGTTTCACCTCCGCAATTAAAATCAGCCTTTCGTCGAATCACAAACTCCGAGTGGTAAACTAAATTACACAACAATGCGCGCAAATTATGCATCGACGATTGAAGACTCACATTCTCCATTCAACATTAATCAGTCCAAATGATTCCTTCCGTTTTCCAAATGCAACCGCATCTAATACAAAACGTAAATTGTTAAGCGCGAAGAAGTTCATAAACCTAATTTTACTTCAATTTCTATTTGAATTCTGAACGACTCTGGTTAACATTAATATTTGTTAATTGTAAGATTAGTTATGCTTTCGATGTGAAAAGCACTGAAATTAGTATAAAAACGCAGCTCCAAATGGCGTTTTTTTTTTCTTTCTGCTTCTTTTCTTGCACGAATTAGTATTCTGAATACATGAATCCTGAAAACCTTATTTGAAGGCGGCCAGAGATCCCCAAAAGGAAATTTCCATTAAAATCCCCGGCACGATTTTCCTTCGCCGGCGAAGACTTTCTCTAAATGGGCGTATTAGGTAAAGCAAAAATTGAATATCTCACGCTAAGACCACAGCCGCGCAGAGCTCAGAAGAATCCAAAAGGCTTTCCGACAAACACACATCTTTCATAAATCCTCTACTCTATTTAAATAATAACACGTGAAGTTTCCATCAACTCAACCCTATACGTTTTCATCATTTGGTTACTTTTCTATTTATAAATCAGACATAATTACACGCATCATCATTTGACAACCTCAAATAGACTGATAATACTTCATTTTCAACAGTGTAGATTTCATCATACGGTTAAAATTAAATATTTAAAATAAATTATTCCAATAAACGTTATAATTAATTAAATTAATCATTAATTTAAAAACCTGCAACATTTAATAATTTAATTACATTTAATAACTAAAATTTCCTTATTTGCAGATTACTCAAAAACATAAAAAAATTAATAAAAGCCTTCGCACTTAAATAACAAAAAAAAATCCACCCATAAAATGTTAAAACAAAAGGTGAAAAAACAATTAACACTCGAGTTTTTTTTAATTGCGTTAAGTAATAAAACAAAAATGAAACGGCCACGACGATGGTGCGAGGTAAATCGTAACAAAGACATAAACTGTGTGTTTTATATTCGAATAAATTGGAGCACCTATAATTTCATTAAGTGGAGACACGTGCCAATGTCACGACCAAGAACAATGCAATATTCACCATTTTATTTCAAAAGTTTCCGTATCAATTAACAAAATGAAAAGATAAACATTTACAGGTGAAAATGCATTTAATTATAAGTGAAATTCCGGTCGTAAACTTGCACAGTCATATTGGTTTAATTAGAATGGAAACTTTGGTGAAAATTACTTAGCAACTGAATATCCTGTTTGCATATGATTTCAGACATGATACTTGCAAATATTGTGATTGGGAATATCATGCTCGGATCGGCATTGATTCAAAGCATCTTTCGTGATGCATTTGGGGGAATCCCCGAGCTGCATCGAAGCGGAAGACATAACATAACAGGGAAGGGGTGTCATAACACGAAACGCTAATGTATATTCAGAGTCTGATCATTTATGCAACGATCTCAAACTTAGTCCCAATTTCAATAACACAAATGAATCAATTCTATTAATTTCAACGAAATGATAACTTTATATGAAAAAGGTAATAGTTTACAAGAATACTAATTGTAGAAAACTTGGAGTTATCGAGAAAACCGTGGAAAACGGAGTTGGGGAAGAAAAAAAAATTGAAACAAATTAATTTTAAATTGACTTTCTTTGCGGAAACGTTCGCCGTCTGCGGCCATTATGTTCGGATTTTGATTTGCTCTTCGGCTCGAGATTTCTTCGATAAGAGAAATTCATTAATTACAATACGGATTTTTAATTTACCTTCCTCACAAATAACCTTCTCCTATTTTTTAAACAAAATATATATTAGTATAATTGGATCAATTTCAATCTTCATTGTGAACTAAATTGATTTATCGATTGAGTAATAAACAATATCTAATCAGAGCAATTACGTAACTTCATGAAACGATGTGAAAAATAAACAGTAGGTCAAAAAAATCCTTTGTTTTTTTTTCAGCTACGAACAGATTACACCAATCGACGAGCAAACAAGCAAATCACAATAATTATGACACAGTCAACTCATAATTTTCTCATAGCTTAGATTAGATTAAATTATGAAATCTAATCGTGTTTATAAATATAATTAAAATTGTCAAAAATTGCATTTTCGGACGAATTGTTGCTAAGTTATTTCTTGCAAATTAAGAGAAAATTATTAATAATGAACATATTTTTCCACGAAACAGAATGTCTGCGTTTATTTTTTTTTTGTAAATTCTACTTCGGGCATCCGCACAAACTTTTCGAGCCACGGTTTGATGGAAAAATTAAACTTTTACCGGATTTAATTCCGTCGCCGGGAAATTAATTAACTAAAATAACCACGTCAGCTTCACTCACGCAAAGTTCCGAAACAAAAACCCGGAGATAATTCTACACGAAATGAGTGCAAGCGAAAAGAAAGAAAGAGAGAAAGAAACGATAATAATAAATAGAGGAGTGCAAGGAAAGAAGATGACGTAATGCGAATTTATGCAAACTTCTCCTATAATTAAACATATCATCATTTCAATTTTAGACGAAAAGCTACATATTTACGAAATATACTTTGTATTATGTAATTACGTGCAGTTTGTTTGATGAGAAAATGAATTCAAATATCTGTAAATGCATTTAAATAGAGGATTAACCTGGAAATTGCTTTCCAAGAGTCTGCTGAACAACTTGAAATTAAGTTTAAGAAACTTTACTATCTGCTACGAAGGAAGTTCGTAAGTATCGAAAGAAAACTAACTTTTAATGTATAAAAAAAAATTAAAGCTATGTTGGCAATTGGCTGAAGGTTTTAGCAAATAACTTTTAAAATTTCCAACTAAAAAAAAGCTAAATAGAAACAAAAATAAACAGAAATTGATTGCAAGAATCTTTTGAATTCGTTTAAATGAAATTATCGATTAGAAATTGGATATTTTCAATATGAAACTGTGATTAGGTTAAAATGCAATTTGCGTGAAAAAAAAAAACTACTTAGATAATAGTAAAAACAGTTCGAGTGTTTCAATTGATTATAGTGAAAATCGGGTCGTATTTTTTGCGTTATCAAATTCCAATGCCGTATTGAAAATATTGAGAGGCAGAGAAAAGAAATGCGACATGAAATATTATCGTGTGTTCTTATTTTATCAGTCGGACAACAGGGTCAGTTATTCGCGGTTTCGAGATCAAAATGAATCAGAATTCCATCTACTTCGATAACCCCCTGACCCATCCCTCCGATGCGCATAAATACACACATACAGAAATGCAATGAGGAACGAATTGAATTGAAAAGTGTAAAGTTCGAATCTCGAATTACCAAAGCAACTACGAATAATAAGTAAATAAACGCAATTTGTGTAATGGAAATTTCGCTATTCGAAAATCTGCATTCCCTTAACAGAATCCAATTATTGAGTGCGCGCACGAGAGTAAATTGATCCAAAGTATGAAAATGCAAATAATGAACAAAACGAACGAACGAAATTATTGCAAAAAAAAAAATGTAGTGCATTTTCAGTGCATTTCAAACTTTTTTTTTATCAATGCAGCAATACCTCGCATAGTGCGCTTCAATCTACAGTCAAGTCTCTTTTTGTGCGGTTTATTTGTCTGATCCTCGATTAATCCGGTTTCAAAAAGTGCGAGATATTGCCAGATTTTATTGGTAGTTCGTCTATAAAAAAAATAACTCCATTAGTAGTAGTAGTTCTTAAAATTTCAGTAGTTCTTAACAGTTCTTTGATATTAGCTCTTAGTAGAAAAGTGACCATCTACAAACTATATATAACTCCTACAGCCAATAAAAATCATCACACAAATTCAACTAAAAATACAGTAAAATAAAGAAACAGTCCTGAAAATTCCTATAGGAAATCCTTGAAAACAGTCCGTTTATCTATGAAACGAGTGTTTTTATTTGTCGGCAATTACCGTTAATTGTTCCCTGCTTTTATTTATTATTGCTCATTAAATTCGAAAGTCTCCACATTTTTTTCTTATGTCTCTCTTTCCTTCTTCGCATTAACATTGTATATACGTCGACCTGAAGTTGATTACACTCTCGTGACAGCAGCAACAACAACCAGTGATGTCATCGCTTATACTTCTTAAACGTTTTCTTTTTTTTTACATATTTACACAAATGCTTATAGCACATTCACGACTTGATTATTATTACATATTCCTTAATGCGACTCATAAATTTTGCTTTTAATTTATTTATTTGCGTTTTCAACAAGAAAAAAAAAAAGGAGAAGCAGAAACACAAGAATAAATATTATGAAGCACACAGGATAAACATTTTAATATTTACGATTTATGTGGAAACTTTATTGAAATATGCATGAACTTTAATAGAAAAGTTTACTTTCTCTACAATTCCGTAAATTTCTTAAATCAGTGATAATCAGTCATAATTATACAGTGGAACCTCGCTTAATGAGTATTTCGCTTAACGAGCAAAATGAAATGTGAGAAAATTGACTCGCTTAACGACGTTTCGCACAACGAGTGACGATGAGAAGAGAAGTCCCGGAATGCGCGCCTGCTAGATCATTTGTAAAACTTTTGTACAGATATTATGTGTATTTTATGAGTAAAAATCCGGAAACTCGTTAAGCGAAGTTCCACTGTATTCCAATATGAATTATTTCTATAAGAAAGTTATTGGGAAAAAAATTAAAAGAATTAACAAGGTGAAGAAAATTGTGTGTTTTGTAGAAATAATATTTGATTTGCAATTATTAAATTGGATGCAATGGAAAGTGATGAAGTGTAATTGGATTCGTATCGACGAAAGTAGGAGTGGAAGATAACGCGCATTATCTGCGTAGAAAACATTCGCGATAATCGCGTCGAGAAAAGGTGTCGATTGACGAAAGTCTAATAAACACAGCAATAATAGGCATATGTATATTGACGGATCAGATTTGATGTTCTCGTCGGTTGCGTCGCACTTAGTTTATTCAAATTAAATTTAGAACGCGACGACTCTTTTATCATCATCGTTCGCGTTTCCCGAGACGGCCACAAACATACAAACAGAGACACGCCGAGCAGTAGTGAACAGTGATTGTAAATATCGAAAACTCTGTGCGTTTTTAACAGTACCATCTTAATTCTTTATCCCAGATTTAATCCAAAAAAAATTGAAGCCCAAAATGAAGGTAATGGAGAAATTTGGAGTTCCGGAGCCGCAGTGGATCTTGGATAGGAGAGATTCGGGCCCGCTCTTCTGGCGCAGAGACACCAAGGAAAATAAATCAAGGTAAAAATATTACATAATTAAATATATACAAACTAGAAAATAAAGGTCGATAGCCTCGAAAAACAGTGAATCGAAGGGGTTGGAGCGGCGGAAAATTATATTCCAAGATCGAGATCGCAATTATTTTGGCATTAAAAAACCATCGGCGGAGATTACCCATTCCCTCAATGTTTATTCATTATTCTAATTGCATTATTTATTATGTGTTTCGTACACGTTAACATTGTTCATGTCTGTACGGTCAATTAAACGTCCACCAACGCATTTAGTTCTCTAAGAAAAAAAAAACATAGCTCAAATGGACGTACAGCAATTGAACGACTTAACGAGACAACAACAAACATACAAATAGTGGTATAAAACGTTAAATGCCCCCCTTAATGCATCATAATCATAGCTAATAATTACTGTAATTTCATAGCAAAGTACAGAGAGCAGCACTTATTTCAAAATTCCACTTTAAGTAAACGCAGATTTTACATTTTGACTCACTCAAACTTGCCTTTATTTACATACAGTTGATATGACTTGAAATTATGCAATTATCTACATCAATATTTATAAAGCAGTTTTAACAATGTCATTTTGAATAAACCAAATTTGTCTATTCAAAATTATATATAAAAAAAATTAGTTAAAAAATAAACTTTCTGGTAATTGCATAAATTAGAATATAATGTAAGAATTTATGTAAAACTTAACTTATCGTTTTTTTTTTGTAAAAACATATTTTCGATTCACTGTGAAATTTACCTATCATAATTACATTACAAATCAACAAATATATAAATTTTATTTACAATTCTTAATTTGTTTTATTATGACCGTTATAGTTAAATGAACTATAACTATTAACAAAAATTAAAATTTGAAAACAAAATTGTTCAATATTTGACTAAAAAGACAATAAAAAATCATCGACTGTTGGAATTTGGAATACAATTACAATGTTTGCGTCATTCGCAAGAACTTTTGACGTGCGAAAACGTAATTATTTCTTAAATACATTAGAAATTATCGTAAGAAAAAAAATTTGAATAAGAATTGCAGATACATGCTTCAATTGAGATAGCAACACAAAAAAAGGACGTGATTTGACGAAATTAAGTGTAGATAAAGATTTGAGCAAGTCAGGAAGTTTGGAGATAGACGCTGGACCCCATCACACCACACATTAATTTTAGAATTATCTTGTCTCTGCAATTAGCCGAACTGTCGCCGCTTTAATTACTCTTGAATAACTGATTTTAATATTACGAATCCGGAAAATCGCATAAATTAACATTATTTACAAAAAAAAATATATATATTTTACATTTATAACGAGGAAATCGTTAGTGGTTAATTGAAGTAGTTTTGTGCCGTTAATGTAGAGAGAGAAAAAAAAACTGATGATTGCATATGCATTAAGTTACATGCCGATTTTATCTCTCACCCGAGGAAATATTAAATAAACTAAATTTGTCTATTCAAAATTATATATAAAAAAAATTAGTTAAAAGATAAACTTCCTGGTAATTGCATAAACTAGAATATAATGTAAGAATTTATGTAAAACTTAACTTGTCGTTTTTTTTTTGTAAAAACATAATTTATTACCAATTCATAATATTTTCGATTCACTGTGAAATTTACCAATCATAATTACATTACAAATCAAGAAAAATATATAAATTTTATGTACAATTCTTAATTTGTTTTATTATAACCGTTATAGAATAACATAATTTACAAAAGAAATATAAAAATTAAATTATTTGTGAATGATTCGAAAGTATTAAGATTAATTTCGGCTGACATAACTCTAACCTTGACTGTTTCGAGATAATCTAGAGGCAAGTGCCAAGATTCGAAACGTTACGTTAAATAGAAGCCAGCTTTTTTTGTTGTTGTTGCTGTCACATGCGATTGTTGGCTCATTTTTTTCGCCTTCGTTCTTGATTGATTCGTCTTGCGATTGGCGTTACATAAATCATGCAAACTGCTTTTCGTTTTGTATCCATTTCTTGTTCTGATGAATACCTTATTCTTTGCTTCCAGAGTGAAATTCCGGTGCGACGTGGAGGTGCTGGAGTTCAGCAGGGGTGAGCACGAACTGGAGGAGATCGAGTGGCCGCAAAATCTGCAAACGTCCAGCAATCTGACGATGGGCATGACCTTAGTGATGTGCATAGCGATCACAGTTCTGCTGCCTTGGTACATAATCATAGGAGTCAATTGAAACAAAACTGCTGCAGTTTTTCTTTTCTTCTTAAACTTCGTTCGACTTCCAAATTTTGCGTATTTCGTGTTTGATCATCATTGTTTTGTGTGTGTGTGTTTATGTATATATTGTGTCATTTCCATTTCAATAATATGCGATGACCCTTGTGCGATGGGTCGAGGATGGATCGAAGCAAACAAGACCGTGAGGAAATAATCGCGAAAAACCAACTCTCGCACGAAGATTAACACCGTCCGAAAATAACATGTATTAGTCTATAATGAAACGATTTTGTAATGCAATAATGCATGTTATTTCGCGCAGAAGATGATGTCAGGATGCGTTCATTTCAATAGACTAAAACCACTTTGATTTATTGGTACATCTGAATCAACGATTCAAGTGAAGTGAAACGATCCAGAAAACGCCTTTAAAATAGTTATTAGATCTTAATACAACTATGAATACAGTGAATTCTCTATATAAGTGATCATTCAGTTGAAATGTGATAGTAATTATTAATTACAACCTTTTCCAACAAAATTTTTATTTTTCTCTCTTTTCGCTTATAACACGAAAATTCACTGTAGTATTTTAACAACATTGTTTCAATTAAATTCCAATTGTTATGCCAAAATGTATAAAAAACTAAAAAAAAAATACAAATTCATTCTGTATGTTATACATACAATGACTAGTAGCTGTAGGAATGAATCGTATATAAATTGTGATTGATTAATGGAAAGGAATGATGATGTACAGTCCGTCTCTGGATATTTATTAATTTGTTTGTTTTAGTTTATAAGAAGTTTATGTTTTGTTGCATTCGTATTTAAGTTTGTTGGAGAATTCTGTATATCTTTATTATTTATTAAAACGCAAATATTCATTTTAATCCTTCATAATTCCAAATCCTTTAATGAACACAACAAATTACTAGTTTAATTAATTTTACAATTTCAATTTTTAAAATCAAGTTAGCTAATTTTCATCAATTGTTTTTTCTTAAATTACTTTCATTTAATTGAGAATTTCACTTCAGTTTTTTTTTTATTCAATTTTTAATATAACGTTAAGTAAAACTTAATAATCGCAGATAATAAGATTATTACATAATTATATGGTGTACATGTGGTTGCATAAATTAAACACTCAATTAATAATTAATTATGACCATGTACGAACACCGAACGAACAAAAGCAATGATGGTCTGATTATGCACAGTTTTTTGCTTCAATTTGCATATTGAATATTCGATCCTTGTGTAGCTTTTGCGTGAGTTCTTCCAATCATTCAACTCTTAAATATTGGAGATCTTTTTCAAGAAATCTTAGAAATTTACATGAAAAGTACATAAAGTGAATGGTGTTGATGGGATGTAAGCAGTGATAAATATTAAGTATCTGTATAGGAATGGTTGATGAATATATATTGATGGATGCTTTTGGAAACAAAGGATTACGAAACGAAATGGTTGCTGTGAGACGTTGGATTGTAAGGTGTAAGGAGAAGGAGGACGTAATGTCTTATGGGCAGGCATTTAGCAATTCAAAGTGGAAGATATACGTGTGTGTGTTGTCCGCCTCTACAAAAGGGCGAGGGCGTCGGCTCAAAAATTTGCATCATAAAATAGTTGGACGCGATAAAATCTATTTTCGGTATAATGCGGATCAATTGTGCTCACCCTCAGCTGATTATCTCGCAGGGGGATCGCGCGTAAACTTGCATAAAACATGATAGCAACAATGGAAAGGACTAGAGAGAAAAAGAGAGGAAGTAAAAAAAAACACGCGCCTCGCACAACCAACAAGCTTTACCCTTGTCACGGTCGCATCGATGAGCGGATGATGGATGAGCCGTTAAGTTAATCACAACTCAATTCCATCTGCAATGCTTACAAAGATGAACAACAACAAGAAAAAAAAGTGGAAGCGCAACAACAAAAACGCGCAGAGACAACAGACGATGAAGTATTCAAAACTCCCGCGCCTATGATTGATAGTCGAAGAGGGTGAGAAGAGGGTTGAGGAGTGAAACAGAGAGAGATATATCCTAGCACGCTTCTAATTACTTTAGCTAAAGTTGAGATAAGGGATTCGATGGCATCATCATCGCTTCTTCGGAAAGATAAATATTGGCCGGACAGTGATGAATGGACTCGCAGACTCCTACAGTTTTTTTTCTTCACTTCTCTCTCATTTTTTTTTATATCAAATTCTCGTGGCTTTCATTCCATTGCAAATGAATCGGGGGAGTGCATTTACCGCAAGGACTTTTAAAAAAAAAATTATACATCCCGACACTTTTTGAAGGGAAACTACTTTAATTCCGGCGCTCGTTTATCAATTCCATCAGATTTATGCTTCAGGAAAAGTTTCATGAGAGAAAAAAAAATAAAAATAAATAGGCGGAATATTAATACCAGTTGAAACTGACAAATGAGTTTCTCTGTGCGGGAAGAAAGACGAGAGGAGGGTTGGAAAGGAAAGAAGTAGAAAAGGAATTAAAGTAGTTTCGGTTGCATCAATCGTCTATTTTTCGGTCTCGGTTAACGGCGGCGGAGAGATCAGGGAATTGAACTAATATTGACAGTCGGTTTGTCTTCGCTTAAAAGGAGATTGGATCATCCATCTCCGAAGCTCCGACGAGACGTCTTCCGAGGCAAATCCAATTGCTCTATTCAGCAAAAGAAAACAGATTACGGATAGTGGTGGGATGCGAGGAATTGTTGTCTGCTGTGCTGCAACAAGGATTAATCATGCTTTCAAGCATTTCATTTTAGAGGGAATTATAACGTGCCCAAAGGGAAGACATTAATACTATTAATAATTTCATCAAAATATTCCATATGACAACAACAGCAACAACAACACGAACGTAATAATTTAACTGTTGTTTCTCTCGCACATGCATTAAAAAAAAAACTATTTTCCATTCGATTCGATTCGCTTCATTACTCGGAATTTATATGTATATATATAAAGTTCCATTAGTCGTTGTCATAGAGAGTTTTGGTTAATGGGATAACTCCGGGTTGCGTGCGTATTGATGTGGTTCTAACCGAGTCCCTGCCATTTATAGAAACATCCTAATGTTATGATAGAACAGCTGGCGTTGTATACGAGTCACTGAGAGTGTGTGTGCAAAATAGATCGTCCTTTTTGACCTTTCGACATTACTTTACATATATATAATTTTTTGCATGCGTCAACTCTTGAAACTTTTTCACGTATATTAATCACGATGATTGGAAAAGTTTCTGACCTTCTGCAGAAGACATATTTTCAAAAACACATTAGGTCATTGCTTGAAATTGACTTTGTTCCAGAACAATTCTTCATATAACCAATTGCATTCATCATCATCTTTGCAAAAGTATTAATTATTATTAGTTTACTTTTTTTAACAATAAAAATGTTGTTAAAGAAAGAGATGAATAACAGCCATAAAAATTATATTTAGAATTAAATTATGAAATGTTTTCGATTGACGCTTTAAATGTTAAGCAATAATTTAATAAAAATAAATGTTTTCGTGTAAACTGAAGAACGAGAGAAAGATGAATCATAATCAGGTGATTATTATTCTATATAAGCAATCCTTTTGCCAATCCTATAAGCAATCCTTTTGCCAATCCTATAAGCAATCCTATAACCAATTGTATTCATCATCATCTTTACAGAAGTATTAATTATTATTAGTTTACTTTTTTTAACAATAAAAATGTTGTTAAAGAAAGAGATGAATAATAGCCATAAAAAATATATTTAGAATTAAATTATGAAATGTTTTCGATTAACGCTTTAAATGTTAAGCAATAATTTAATAAAAATAAATGTTTTCGTGTAAACTGAAGGAGAGAAATATGAATCATAATCAGGTGATTATTATTCTATATAAGCAATCCTTTTGCCAATCCTATAAGCAATCCTATAACCAATTGTATTCATCATCATCTTTACAGAAGTATTTATTATTATTAGTTTACTTTTTTAACAATAAAAATGTTATTAAAGAAATAGATGAATAACAGACATAAAAACTATATTTAGAATTAAATTATGAAATGTTTTCGTGTAAACTGAAGAAGGAAAGAAAGATGAATCATAAT